CTAAGTCACATGTATATGTACTAATATGTAATCATATTATCTTGTGTTTCACTCTCTGTTTCCTGTTTATCCACAAGTGTTCTCTCCTCAGAAAAAACTATAAACTGCTTGAGGGAAGGAAGTTTACATTATTTTTACCCATTTATCCAAAACAAATCTTCACTGAGTTCCAGCATTGTGTTAGGCACTACTCTATAGACAGTGATAAACAAGATAAACATAATCTCTGTTCTCATAGCACCTATATTCTAGTGTGTAACTGCATGTGTATGTAAGGGGAGTGAGATAAAATTTATACATAATTATTAATTAGGAACTAGGTAAGCACCATAAAGTAAAAATATATGGTACTATAAGACCATGATAAAATTTCATGCAACAAACAGGCAACTATCCAAAGGTCTAAAGATGCCTGGTGCCTTAGTGAAACTAAAAGCAAGTTAGATCAATAAGGATAGAGAGTAGAAGATGGGCCACATCAGACGGAAGTACTGAGGTACAGGCTGGGTGTAGTTCCTAGCAATGTACAAGAATCAAGAAGTACTTGCTAAGGGAGAGTAAACATTAATGGTTCTTAAGAGCCATAAAGAACAATGGCAGAGGTAATTTCCAAACTTTTGTACATTTAAAATTAAACAAAATGCAGAACACCCAGAGTTAACAAATATGAACACTTGACAGCAGCAAAATATTAGTAGGAGATTTAACACCACATTTACATCCATGGGTACATCATCTGGACAGAAAAATGACAATGAAACATTGGACTTAAGTGACACAGTAGGCCAGATGGCCTTAGCAGTACATACAGAACATTCCATTCAAAAGAAGAAGAGTACACATTCTTCACAAGTGCATATGGAACATTCTCCAGAATAGATCACATGTTAGGCGACAAAACAAGTCTCAATAAACTCAAGAAGACTGAAATCATATCAAACATCTTTTCTGACCATAGTGGTATGAAACTAGAAATCAATTACAAGAATAAAACTGGAAAAACTACAAACATGGAAATTAAACATCATGTTACTGAAAAACTACTGGGTTATAGAAGAAATTGAAAGAATAATAAAAAATACCTAAAGAAAAATGAAGACAGAAATACAGCATACCAAAATCTATCAGATGTATCAAAACACGTTCTAAGAGGTAAGTTCATAGTAATACAAGATACCTCAAGAAACATGAGAAATCTCAAAGAAAAAATTTAACTTTATACCTAAAGAAACTTGAAAAAGAAGAACAAATGATGCCCAAAGTTAGAAAAGGAAGGAAATAAAACATCAAAGCAAAAATAAATGAAATAGAGACTAAAAAGACAATAGAAAAGATCAATGAAACTCAGAGTTGGTTCCTTGAAAAGATAAATAAAATTGACACTTTAGCTAAGATCCACCAAGAGAAAAAGAGAGCTCAAATAAATGAAATCAGAAACGAAAGTTCCAACTGATACCACAGAAATATAAAAGATTATATGAGACTACTAAGAAAAACAAAACACCAGAAAATTGGACAATCTAAAGGAAATGAATAAATTCCTAGAAATTTACAATCTTCCAAGAATGAATCAAAAAGAAACAGAAAATCTGAATAGACTGATTACTAGTTAAGGAGATTGAATCAGTAATTAAAAAAAAAAAACCTCCCCACAAACAAATTTCAGGTACAGGCAGCTTTCTTGGTGAATTCTACCAAACATTCAAAGAAGATTTAAATACCTATCCTCACACTCTTCCAAAATAAACTGAAGAGAAGGGAAAACTTCCAAGCTCATTTTATGAGGACAGCATTAACCTAATTCTGAAAAAAGACAGTACCCTACACAAAAAGAGAAGTACAGACCAATATCCTTGATTAACATATGCAACAATCCTCAGCAGAAGATATATAATCTGAATACAATAATACATTGAGAGGATTCTATAACACGGTCAAGTGGGATTTATTCCAGGGATGCAAGTATGGTTTAAGACTTGCAAATCAATCAGTATGATGTAGCACACTAAAAAAATGAAGGTTAAAAATCATGTGATTATCTCAAAAGGTGCAGAAAAAACATTTGACAAAATTCAACATCCATTTATGATAAAAACTCTCAGCAAAGTGTGTATGTAGGGATGTACCTCAACATAATTAAGACTATATATGATAAACCCACAAATAACATTATATTCAATGGTAAAGAGCTGAAAGCTTTTCCTCTGAGATCAGGAACAAGACAAGGATGTCCACTCTTACCACTTTTATTCAACATAATTCTGGAAGTTCTAGCTACAGCAATTAGGCAAGAAAAATAAATAAAAGGAATATAAATTGGATGGGAAGAATTTGTAAACCTGTCACTATATGCAGAGGACTTGATACTATATATAGAAAATCCTGAAGAATCCTACAAAAAACTGTTAAAACTAATAAAAGATACAGGAAACAAAAATAATATACAAAAATCTGTTACATTTCTATACACTAAGGACAAACTAACAGAAAGAAAAGTCAAGAAAAGAATTCCATTTATAATCACATCAAAAAGAATAAAACACCTGGAAATAAATTTAAGGTGAAAGTCCTAAACATTGGAAACCATAAAACACTGATGAAAGAAACTGAAGAAGGCACAAGTAAAAGGAAAGATAATCAGTGCTCATGGAATGAAAGAACTAATAATATTAAAATGTCCACATTACCCAAAGCCATATACTGATTCAATGCAATTCCTATCAAAATTCTAAAGACATTTTTTACAGAACTAGAACAAATAATTCTAAAATTTGTATGGTGTCACAAAAGACTCTGAATAGCTAAAACAATCTTGAGAAACAAAAACCATGCTGGAGAAATCATACTCCCTGACTAGATTATACTAAAAAACGAATCAAAACAGTATGATTTTGGCATAAAAACAGATACACAGATCATATAAACAGGAGAGCCCAGAAATAAACCTATACATATATGGTCAATTAATTTACAACAAAGGATACAGAATACACAAAGTGAAAAGACAGTCTCTTCATTAAATGGTCTCTGGAAAATTGGACAGTTGTATGCAAAAGAATGAAAGTGGACCACTATCTTACACCATATACAATGATTAACTCAACATGGATTAAAAAAAAGACTTGAATATAAGAACTAACTGAAGCCATAAAACTAGAAGAACACATAGGCAGTAAGCTCCCCAACATTGGTCTTAGTGAATTTTTGGGGTCTGACTCTAAAGGAAAGGACCGCAGTAAAAATAAGTAAGTGGGACAACATCAAATGAAAAGGTTCTCCACAGTGGAGACCATCAACAAAATGAAAAGGCAACCTACTGATTGGGAGAAGATATTTTCAAATCATATATCTTATATGGGGTTAATATCCAAAGTATATAAAGAACTCATACAACTTAATAACAAAAGAAACCCCAGATAATCTGATTAAAAAATGGGTAGAGAATCTGAATAGGCATTTTTCCAAAGAAGACATACAGATTGACAATAGGCACATGAATAAATGCTCAACATGACTAGGGAGTATGAAGTGCAAATCAAAACTACAATGAGATACCATCTTACTATGCCTGTCACAATGACTGTTATCAAAAAGACGTAACAGAAATAAGTGTTGGCCTGGATGTGGAGAAAAGGGAACCCTCATACACTGTTGGTGGAGATACAAATTGGTGTAGCCACTATGTAGATTCTTCAAAAAATTAAAAATAGAGGTACTGTAAGATCCAGCAATTTCATTACTGGCTATCTGAGAAAAAGGAAACACTAATGGGAAAAGATATATCCACCCTTATGGTCATTGTAGCATTATTTATAATAGCCAAGATATGAAAACAACCTAAGTATCCATGAAATGGATGAATGGATGATGAAAATGTGGTTATAAATACACTGGAATGCTACTCAGCCATAAAAAATGACACCATGTCATTTGTGACAACATGGATGAACCTTGACGGTATTATGCTAAGTGAAATAAGTCAAAGACAAATACTGCATGACTTTATGAATATGTGGACTCTAATAACCAAAACAAACAAAATAACAAAATCCAGACTCAGAGATACAGAGAAGACATTGGTGGTTGCCAAAGGTGAAGGCGGGACAGGCAGTTGGAAAGTGAATTGAATTGAGAAGCACAAACTTCCTGTTATAAAATAAAGTAAGTCATGGGGATGTAATATACAGCACAGGGCAGATAGTCAATATTGTAGTAACTATGTAAGGTGACAGACAGTAAGTAGACTTATTGTAGTGATAATTTCACAATTTATACAAATGTCAAATCACTATGTTGTACATCTGAAGTGAATATGATACTGTAGGTCAATTATTCCTCAGTTAAAAAAATATGAACACATAAGTGCTCATGAAAGGGGTTCAGATGCTCACTTTACTGATGCAAATATGCCTACTGAGGACCAGGGTGAAGGAAATGGCTGTGAAAAGGCACTATGCAGCATTAAGGATGAGAAAATTTGCTGCTATCAGGTTTGGAGTTTTGTTTTGTTTCCTCAACATCAATAAAAAGGAGTGGACCAATGACAACTCTGATGTAGACAGTGGTCTACTCCACATTGCAAGTCTGGTGCCAAACTGCTTTACACAGGCACCTAACAGATGGTAATGTATTTCAGCCATTACCAATGTGAGTAGGATTCAAACCAGTAACCCCAGAGGTGAGAGGTTGTATATCCAATTACAAATTCCCACTTTTCTTAAGCGTTAAGATGCCTAAAGCAATATATTTTATTTACATCAAGATGCATTGTATAAACTATATTTGATAAAAGAGATGACTTCACGTTCTCAACTTAAATCAAAGAATGCTTACTTAAGTATTTTTTTAATTGAATCACACTTTTAATGCCATCGTATAATCTTTTGGTTAACAGTGCTCATCTTGATTATTCTAACAAAGGGAAACATGGAAATTAATACTGAAGTTGTAGAGCTTATGTCATCTATAAAAATACACATTAGAAAATTCAAAAAAGATACCTGGGATATCTGTGAAGGTTTCTCCAAGGACAGACACATGGAAATGGAGTCCTAAGTCCTTAAGATGCATTAGTACCTTAAAAAAACTCTCTGGATCTTTATCATGTTCCCTGGAAGTAAACACAGAAATATAATTTTTGATACCTTAGGATATGTGTTAGGAAAGGTGTTTTCATTTCTCACAGTATCAATTCCTTTTGTGGCCTATTGCTAGGTCTGGGAGCCTCTGGCACCCAAGCAGAGATCTTCCCCAATAAACTTATATTGTAGCATCAGCATTGAATATTTTCATGACTCTAACTTTCCTCTCATAGCTCAAAACCCAGTCCTATTGATATCTTGAGGCTCTGCAGCCTCTTATTAAAGGAAAACTCTAACTCCTTTATTAAAGGAGAAATACAAGATAGATTTTGGGGCAGACTGTAGAAAATCTAGTGTGTTTCCCTTTCTCTTAAAATGGTTAATTTTCCACTTACCATGGGTTTTTAACAAAAGAAAAGACCAGTCTTCAAAGGACAATTCTCTACTGATCATGAGAATGTACCAAAGATGTTTTTCATTTCTGTGGATCTGAATACCTTCCTCTCATATTTACTGAGCCCCTTTGTGCCTACAAGGAACATACAATTTAGGGAGTGAGATTACAGACTCTCTCACTAATCTCCCATTTTAAATAATTGAATGCAGAATTATAAATACATCAAAAGGGAGTAGGCCTGAGTCTAAGTCTCCTGAGTATTAACTTAGGAGTGGAGGTTAGTCAACATATAAAGGAATAGTAATAAAGATAATTCTTTCATTTAGTAGAGGCTTTGAAAAACATGGCTTATTTTTGTTTGTTTAGCTTGTCAGTCTTCTTTGTAATGACAGAATGAGAGGCTAAAGGACACTAAAATAAAAAACATTCACCAATTCCAGAAATCACATTAAAATGGAATGAGTTATTTTTTACATTCTAAGGTGTGAATATTTCAGTATTTCTTGCTTTTAATTACACTGTTTTAAATTATCTTATTTCAGACAGATGTGGACCAGATGTCTTCAAAATATTTGTTTTTTATTTATTATTCATAATTTTAACTTATTTTTTATCTTACAGAGAAATAGTTATATATCAGCAATTGAATTTCTCATTTACCAACTAATTATGTAAAATAAATCTGTAAATTGATCAAACTGCTATATGAAATATGAAAATTACATCATTCAGGAAATCTTATGAAAAATGACATCTGCAACCCTAAATGTGTTAATTCACAATTCAGTCAATATTTTCAGTATCAAGAATTAAAACAAATGCATCTTCTGATTAACATTTTTAAACAGCATGTATAATCTTATGGAATTACAAGATCTTATGGAATTACAGTTCTGTAACCATTTATTTTAAGCTATTTCTCAGTTTGACTTATTTCAGATAATAAAGAAAGCAATGGCAAAATGTTCATTGCTTTTTAAGTTGATGCATATTACATACATGTACCACTGGGAAGTGTCTCTCGATGGTTCCCATACATACTTACTGCTGTGGGCAAGAACAAAGACCCCAAAGAGTTTGAAAGTATAGAAAACGCCACATGCTATCATCAACAGTATCAAACAAATAGCTGCCACCTAATCTGTAGTATATTCGTTTAGTCTGATTCTCTTGGAAATACAGAGATGGAAAGAATGGAAACAATAAAAAAGAATACATCTTAAAGAGGGAGTAACACTATAGGGAAATCTAGCCACTCGGTTCTCGCAATTTTTCATTTTGAGTTCCAAAAATTTTGGCTAGAGATCCCCAAAAGAATATGTATTCTAAATATTTCCTGCTGTTTTTTTGTTTGTTTGTTTTGTGTCAAGTAAAAATAGATGTGATTTGGGGTTGGGAGGTGGTTTTATGGGGTAGAAGCTGTAGTTCCTCAAAGATTCCAATGTGAGTTATTTTCAAAACAGCAGTCTCCATGTGTTTCTATCTCCACTGTTTCTATGCAAGATAAATGCATTACAATCCTACTGTTCTTTAGATTAAAAAATATTCAATTCATTTAAACTAAAAAAAAAAAAGCAGTTCACCCATTTCTTTAGATTTTTTTTATATAGGTGGACAAAAGCTTTTCATATTCTATAATCACTTTGCATAAGAGCACAAGGTATTTGTATGAGTCCCCTCTCTTTCTGTTTAAACTAGAATATATGCACAAATGCAAGGTACAATTCTTCTTCCCCAGAAATATCCCTCAGAAAAAAGAGGCACTTTATGCTAAAGTTGTTATAAAGTCTTTCATAATACTGCACTCTCTCAATTACTTTATTTTGAAAAAAGTACTGTTTAGGGACCCTGCATCAACCTGAAACAATGCCAACTGATGAGAGTCCTGGATGATTTTAGCAGCCATGCATTTGATGGGACTGGCGAAAATGGAAGCAAAGGAATTTAATACCGAGCTAGCAATTACTCTGGGAGACATGACCTAATAATTCAAAGTGCTGGATGTTGTTGAAAACAAATATTTTAAAGATCACTAAAAAATGTAATAGAGTAAGTGGTTACAGGAGATCATGAGTCGTAAGTGGGTTTTTATAGCTGGGGGAAAGATTTCCCGAGATGGCAGCACACAGCTTCACAAATCTTGTGCCCCAAACCGCTTAGACTGAATTCCAGACGACAGGTGGTGGAAACACGCCAGCTGCCTGAAAAGGTGTCACTGTTCAGAATGCATGGCAAGGGAGTGGGACTAAAACTGTGTCGTGAAATATAACGGTGGGAAAAGGGCATACTTCTAAAATTATTCTACAGGGTATGTGCTTTCAAGGATTATTTATGTTTAAACTAGTTTATATATTATAAGAAGACTTTTTATTTCACATAATTGATTTTTCTGTTTACTCTTTAGAAAAGTAGGAAATCACCTAACATTAGATCATTGAAGTGTGCCCAAATATTTAGCAGAATGTATGAATCTGTCTTATATTCTTTTGTAAGAAATCTGATTTGAAGCTCTCATTATTTTAGCATGAAGCATTTAATATAGGATGGGGAGGTGTTTAGCATACAGTACTTAATATAGGATGGGTAGGCGTTAGAAATAATATATGGAATGCCCCTTTCTGCCAACAGTTATCAATATTAAACCCGAATTTAGTAATATACTCAATTCTCTATAACCATACTTGTAGACTTATGGGCTCCTAAATACTCTTCTGCTCTTATCCATTGCTGGTAGAAATGTAAACTGAAATACTATTTTAGAGGGCAATTTGGTATTGTACATAATAAGCCTGAAAATGTATATACCTTTTGCATAAGTAATTTCAATTCAGAAAATTACCCCATAAAATAAAAAATAGGTGCACAGAAATTCAGCTAGAGTATGTTTGTAACAGCATTGTTTATAATGGTAACCATCTGTAAACAATCTAATGGGATGACAAGGAAATACATTTTGGCACATTCATATGATACAGTAACATGTAACCATTAAAAATAATTCTGTAGAAGTATATTTCCTGACATGGAAAAATTATCCAAGAAACACTGTTAAGTAAAAGGGAAGTGAGAGAGTAGTACATACTATTGATTTGTTTTTGTAAGACAAATGGATGTGTGTGCCTAGAAAAAGTTTGGAAGGAACTATACCAAAATGTTAACAGGGTTTATCCCTGGGGGTGGCATTATAAATGTTTTTTTTTCACTTTTTCTATTGTTTCTTTAATAAAGGCTTTTTAAAATATAAATAATTTTAATGCTTTTAAGGAACCAGCCCTCCCTAATATTCTGCCATAAAAATGTATTCATAGGATTTTTGCTTAACTCTGTAACATTTTCAGGGTTGATAGTAGTATAATTCTTCATTTTCTGTGACCTTTCTACATTTGACAGCTGCCCATCAAGTAAACTTGATTTACCACAAAACATTCTAGAAGATGTCGGAGTCCAAGTTTCCTAACAATTCCCACTCTCTTGACTTGATAAGAATGAAACAGTCTGGCTGGAAACGCACTCCTCAGCAGCCCAACTATGGCAGAAGAGACCATTGCAGAAATATTTCAGGCTTACTGGAAGCAGCAGATATAGCAGGAACAGCTTTTATTCCCAAATATTATTCAGAACATTTGAAAAGCATAAACTGTTTCCATGTGTTTTTTCTTCCTATATCTGTTCTCTTGCTGTTGCCTTTCCCATTTAGCTTTTTAGAACTAAATATCTTCTTATTCCTCACTTAGCATTCATTCAGTAAATATTTATTGAGAATCTCTAAGTTCTCCATACTTACCGCTTTTACTAAACTGTTACCCTTTGCTATTTTCCCACATAACATTATACTTTTTGAATGCAATTTCTTTCATCTAATTCCTTGCCTTGCCTGGGCAGAAACGTGGCTCTTCACAGATTCCACAGTTTCCCCAGCAGCATGTCACTCTGGATGGAGAACTCCGTGATGGAAAGATAAGTGATGTCGGGTTTTTCACTAAGTACCCAGAGCCTTGCCAAGCAGTGGTACACATTACTTGTGCTTATCAATAGCTGTTTCTTCTCCCCCTTCTGGGTACATGGAAGATCCATGATCACCCCTTCTGAGTAGGGGAGGCCACAGGACTAGGGGCCAACGGACTGTAGGCTGTGTGTCACTTCCGGGTAGAAGTATGTAAGAGCCGTTCTGGGTAGCACTTTTTCTGAGGAAGAAGCATGACTCCAGAGGGCGAATGTCTGAAGGTGTCTATCTAGGCAGACACTGCTGGCTGGAACATTCCTGAGAGATTCCTGAGCTGTGGTGGGCAGAAAAGTTGAACCATGGTTTCTGTGCATGTCATGAAGAATCACAGAGCACCTGGCAGGTAGATAGAAGCAGGGGTCCCTCAGCAGTGGCCTGTGAGGAATGGGGACCAGGAAAATGGAAGATGGAGAATCTTCAACTGCTTCAGCGTTCTCTCACCAAATCGAAATAGGCCACTGCAGAGAAATTAAGGTATAGAAAAATAAAATTCTGATTTAAGTGTATCAAGGTTTGATGCCATCTGCACATTCATATTCTCATCTTCCTTTTTAATAGTGGAAGGAGAGATGTCTGCCTTTCAAAATACAAAGCCTACTGGAGCTCTGTATCTCACACCTCGCCTCTTG